GATGTAAAATTATTTTTGTAATTTTTCTCGTTTAAATGTAAATTAGTGTTACTCTTCTGTCCAAACTTGTTTTACTGAACTCTTCCATCATATTTTTGACATTGTAATGAAGATAAAACAGGCATTTCACCTTGCTACTTTCTGTTTTTGCCCATTGTATTCCACAGTTTATTTTTCATAAATCCGTTTTTTTATGGTTTAAGAAATCTACATACTTCAGTAATTATGCAGTAATTAGGTTTTCCACCCCTATCTGTGAGAAGTAATTTTAAAAGTACGTCTTTTACATTTTAATGTATTGATTTGGCTAAATCATTAGGTAATTGTACTGAAAACTATTCAAAGGATTGCCGCATCAGTTAGAATAGTAAAAATAAATAAATAAATGAAGAAAGAAAAAAACGGACCGTTCTTATAAATTTATAATAGATGTGAAAGAAACAAACCCTTTCTGTTTGAGTTTAAAGATAATTGTTTTTTCTTCTTAAAAAAAATGATTTCATTTTATTTGTAATGAGTTAGATTATATAGAATACAGTGTTTCTCAACTAAATAAAGCCACCTTTAGTCTAGTCTGTATCTAAAGACACATTTACAAGACCTAACTCACTTTCTGATCTACCTGGACAAGGAAAAAATGATTGAATAAGTAAAAAAGGGGGAAAAAAGCCCCATCAAAATAAAGCAACTTATTATATATTCGTCATGTTTATACATAACTTGAAATAAATGATAATGCGTACCATTTACAAATCCCTGAAGATCATTAGCATCAATATTATCCCGGGTTTAAATGATGGAAGCATTCAATTCTGCCACAAACTGAAACTGCTACGTTTTGGCATATATAGTCCTACCGAGGATACGTTTTCTTAAGACTATTGATTGATCAAGTAAGAGAGCAGAGCATTCATAGCTTGCAACCCATTATCAAAAGCTAGCCCTGTGAAGATTTTCAATCAGCAGCTATTATTACAAAATGCATGAATTAAAGCTATTTTAATCCCATTACTTGCAAAATGAGATTTTAGCGAAATAATATGCAGTTAGTTGAATAGTTTCAATTATTTATGATCTTTTTATCGATAAACGCTTGTATGCTTATTGAGAAATAATTAAAAATGAAATACTATTAAGTGAATTTTCTTGTTTGTTATTATAATGCTCGTAACTACGGTATGCAATTCTCATTCTTTATTAGAATGTGCAATTGTGCATAGGTTGAAAATTATGCACTATGCACTTCATTTTATTACATTTTCAATTAACGTAATTATTGTTGATTGAAAAATAATTCAAATGGTATGAGAGTAAATGAGATTTATTGCTTGTTAATATACTCATAATTGCGCATTCATTTCTTACTGTTTATTAGTAAGTGCAATTATGCACAGGTTGAAGCAAAGCACATATAATGTTAGATTCACAACTGCACTGTAATTTATATATTTTGTTTTTCGCATATGTTAAATGATTTACAATTTGCAGAAACATTACATTCCATCATATCTTTAAAAATGTATTCATGCGTATTAATGTATTATCTTTAAAGTGTGTATTATGATACATGCATATAAAAATGTCTCAAATCCTATAATCATTTACGTCGGGTATGTATGAACCGTAAATGCGTTTAAAGTTTTACTGAAATTGTTTACATTCAGTGATTTTTTTTTTGTAAAAATTTTATGCTTTTTTTAAATACAGTACACATGATACATTTAAATGAAAGTATCTGCGTTTTAGAAACCTCACGTTGTACATACTCTTAAGCATTTTATATTCTTTATATACATGCATGTACCCGGATCCAGAGATGCCTTTGTTATCCTTCCTCCTTTTTGGATCGTTTACTTCTCTTTCTTTCATTTCGCTTGAGACATACTGTTTATCACGGTCTAATTTTATTATCTGAAATATGTATTATTCTGCTTAGGATTTCTTTTATTTATTTGTTTACTTTTTCGCTAGCAAAGTTGTATTAGGTTTTTGTGCTATGATCATGGATAACCAATTCAATCCATACAAGTGTACAGACATGGAACGATTTAAAAACTCTGCTATTGTTGTTTGAACCTAAAAAGTTTTTTTTTTATTAATATTGTTTCTTATCTCTTGATATAAAGTTTTTCAATAATTTTTTTTCTTGATTTTTTCTTGAAAAAAATCTTAATATAATTTTTCTCCTTATATAACCTTTTTTTTAAATTAATATCATTTCTTCCTCCTTGTATGAGTGAATTTTCCACTAGACGAACTAATATTTACGTCTAGTAGACTACATAGTGAGTTAAATACACACCGTTAGAATTTTCTTTCTAAAATTACATCCAATTAAGAGTAAATTTAACGGTTAGGAACATTTTTTCACCTTTACGTTATCAAGTAGTATCGTTGAAAAAACGTGTAGCCATTTATAATTAGGGTGGTTTCAAAACCGTCAAAAGGAAATTTACCTGGACGTTGGAATTAGGTTATGTTAGATATTTTCGTTAGGTAATAGACATCGGAGTTATGTTGTGATTGAGTTGTGTTTTTTCGAATGACTCATGAAATGTGATTTAACTAATTTATCTGGTAGTGCGATTAATCGTGAGAATTGTGAAATACTAAACTTTTTTCTGTAAAGCAGCTCTGAGTTTTGTCATCTGTCCGTAAATGAGAGTTTCGTGTTCTAATAATCCAGGGTAAACAACTGGGAGGGCAAAACAGGAAACTTTTCATGAGCTGAAGGAATGGAAGAATTATTGTGGTGCCAAAGCTGGGATTCGAACCTACTTTCAAACAGTCGTGAGATTAATAGATTGGCCCTCTTAGCAATAGTATGTAATTAAATGATAGGAACTAAGGGGCTTCGTAAGATGACTCTAGTTGGCACAGAAAAAAAATTATTTTATAAGGAGCAGATAACCGTATTAGGTGAAAGCAGACGTCAAACGATTTTTCTTTCAGTTAACAGTTTCAATACCATCATTTGTAAGATTTTTTTTTTACTGTTTTGGTTGAATATAGTAAAATAACAATTAAATAAATTATTATTTAACCAGTTTTACCAAGAAATTTTTAAGAGTTGCGTACCATATAAAAACCAATGTTTGTTTTTTGTACCTAGTGGTTTCTGTACTTATTTATGCCTAGCCTTAGTAAACTTCTTGCGTTTCGTAACATTTATTATTTTTTCAATTATTTATTTCCTACTATTAAAACAATTGTTTATTCATTACACAACTTCCCGTACTTTGTTTATTTTTCCTTATCTGTTATATTTATTTTAATTTTATAACAATTTTACTCGATTTCCTTCATCATTAATTTTAAATAAACCCAAAACTACCAAACTTTTCACCGCGAATGAATGGGAATCGGAATTTAATAAAAATAAATATAACATATTCACAACAATAGAAACCTTGAAATATTTTCAAGGGTTACTTTAAGAAAAGTGCTTTTTCAAGGGCTTTAATTCATTCTTCTTTCAAATGTATAACGACCATCAAATCTTTCTCACTTCCACAATACTATAAAGTTGACGTAATGTGGGAAAATTTCACAAATTTTAAAACACACACAAAAGAGGTGGATTTATACAGTTTCATTTTTATTCCAAAACAATCAATTTATTCAAAAGGTTCAATCATACGGAACTGAGAAAACTGAAACAACTTTCATCACTCAGGGTTATTTACATTTGATATGATTGATGTTCTGAACTTAGTTTTTATAAATTGTTCTTTTTTACTAATAATTATATTCCTTTACTTTTGCGGAAAATTGTATTAGAAACACGTTCAATTGTTTAACACGCTTTTTTATCTGATATATCAGATTTTAAGTTTTAGCAAAAAGGTTTAATATTTTGAAATAACTATAAAAAAAAATGTTATTTTCTCTCCATACTTTGTGATTTAAACAAATTACATTACTTTCCAATCCATTTATTTTATTTTTACAATCTTATTTTATTCTTTTAGGGAAAAGTCAAAAACTCGTGAATATCACTGCGTTTTCTGATCATTCAGGCGTTTAATAGGAGGGGAATGTTTATTAATTAAAAATAAGTAAATCAATAAATATATTAACGATAATAAAGATTATTATTATTTCCTTTAAAAAAATAATGATATTTTTTTATTATGTGAAATAATGGTTTGATAGTTTCGTCATACTGAAAGAAAACAAAATTTTATTTAGGTGTACGAAAGTTAATACATTTATCCACAAATTTTTTTAAACATATGAGAAAAAATATAAACTTTACACATGATACCGAAACTTTTTATACTTTAATAGAGAAAATAAAATTTTTTATTTATTTAAATCTATTTACATTTTTATTTGTATACCTGATAGTTTTCATAACATAGAGTATATAAGCAAAAAAAAAAAAAAAAAGAGCATATCTTTCAAAAAACATTACTATAAATTTTAGAAATCGATTGATCACTTATATGGTTACTTAAATTTATTTGATCGCGATCACTTATATCAGTGTACCACTAATAAAAAGAAAATGAATGTATTTTTTACTATAAAAGAATTACACAAAAGTTAAAAATCCCACCTGTCTGTTGACACCACTAATTATTAACAGTTAACTGCAAAAAAAAATAGCCAATAGAAAAATACGCAATCGAAAATTTTCATCTCTAGAATTGTTCTTAAATAAAAAATTTTAAAAATTTTGTTTGTTGCAAGATATTTCGCAAAAGAACGCGTACCCTCGCTAAACTGTTCCCGTACCCCTAGGGGAACGCGTACCACACTTTGGGAAACACTGACTTACATAAATACACAAGTGGGCGACCTTTTTGTTTAAATACAAAGTTAGGTAAACAACGTTTAAGAGCACAAAAAATATTTATAAATGCATAATTTATAAATTTATAAATATTTTTTGTGCTCCTAAACGTTGTTTACCTTAGTTTGTACTGACTTATATAATAATGATTACTTACATGCTCTTGCACTTATGTTTCAATTTAATTTTTTTTTCTTTCCAGGAGACAGGGAATTCAGGAAATTAGGCTGGCCCCTCCAAACCTTAAAAAGTATGACGCCTCCTTCTCCAAACAACGCATACTGGTCAAACTTAGCTGCGTCCACCAGCCCATCCTCATCATCTCCTCTCCTAGCCTCTTTTCATCCCCAATGTTACTCCTCATACCTACCCCACTATCCATTCACCTATTCACAGAACAGCTCGGCGGTCATGAGTTCTCTACCAACTCACGGTAGCCATCCTAGTTTAGAAGCTGCCACATCAGCTACTTCTCCTTATTTGCTGTTTCACACCGGTGTACCACCCTTCACGGCGTCGACGCCTTCATCAGCCACCTCAAATTCCATCGTGCCCGATATTGTGGGAAGGGTTTACAGTCCGCCCAGTCGACATCCTGCCGACGGACATACTAGTGGTGACAGCAGGGGGTCAGCCGAATATAAAGATGAGTCAGATAAAGAAAGTGGCGGATCTGCACCCCCAACGACCATTAGAGACTCTTCAACTATTGTGGATAAGCACAGAAGGTCGAGAACCTATCGACCGGTCCCTTATCCAGTGCCCTGGCAAGACAGGCTGGAAACAGCAGCGAATGCATAGTGTCTCATTGTATATAAAGGTAGGTTATTGTTTTGAATAAAATTAATTGCGTTTAAAGTTACCGTTCTGTTATCAAAAGAGTTTCTTCAGACCCCGGCTGCTGGTTACAAAGAAAAGCCGTTTCGAATAGGGTATGTGGGTTTAACCAGAGCCTGACTGAGGCAGGGGCATACGGGGCAGTTGCCCCTGTCCCCCACATCAAAAGGGGCCCCCAAATCGAATAGAAAGTTTATTTTACATTTCTTTCTTTAATGAACTTTTTTTAAACAAATAATCAGTACGGTGCAAAATCCATCTGTTTTATGCTGGCTTCTTCACTAATCTAATCTAATCTATATTTCGTAAATCCATGGCATTTTAGTGCGTAATACAGCTAAATTTTCGCAATTACGACGGTCAAATTTAGCTAATCAAAATCCTGTATTTTTGCATATCTCAAACTGCGATATGTTTACAAAAATACAGGCTTCTGGCGGGCTTAGTTGAGGCATCGTAATTGCGAAAATTTAGCTGAATTCTTCCCTAAAATCAGCAAGGATTTGAATTTTTCACAGCTAGATAACGAAGTTAACAATCAGAAAACTACGTTTGGCATGATTGACATAGAATTTTCAGAAAATTAATATAGTCGACAGAACGATATTTCGTCTGACCATTGGAGGTGAGGAGGGGGACCTTATAGCTATTCAATACTAGTCAATTTTCTTGTTACCTATAATGAGGTAAAAAATTTAAACACCTCTATAAAGTTCGGTTTTTTATTACTGAATTAGTGAGTGGATGGGGGCCCCCAAGAAGCTTTTGCCCATGGCCCCAATTAGGCTAAGTCGGGTCCTGGATATAACCCGTTTCACATTGGTTTAGGTTGGGAAAACGTTGGGTCACAGTGGAAATTCTCGTGATAGCTAGACAGTACTGTTACTTATTAAAAGATTTAGAAAGTATTGAACAATAATATCGTTCAAATTTGCTGCTACCTTAATATGGTGATTGGGTGAAGCCATATTACATATTCTGGCAACCATTTTTTCTTCTGCATAAAAAAAAGTTATTTCGAAGATGCATAAAATTAATAGAATTTATCTTTAATTTAAAATTTAATGCGTTTCACAACTAGAAAATAATTTAAAACTCTCTGTTGATTAATGGTGAGATAAGATAGCTATATTTTCACCATATAATGGTATAACCAATTAAATTCAACTAGAATTGCAATCGAAATTCTTTAAAACCAATCCTACTATTAATTTAAGCGGAATTGACAGCCCTTTTTCTAAGTGGTGATCTGGTCGAAAACGGAAGTTTCAGAAATTCAGAAAACAGGCTTTCAAAGTTTGATATTCTTTTCGAAATCGAACTTTAAAAATTAGCAAATTTTCTGAAAATAAATTAAAAAAGCACTAGTCTGAAAAGGTTTTATTTTTCACCTCTCAGATAATTCAGATCAGATTTACTGGTCAGAACATGCTCACAATGATCTCGTTACATTTCTACCTATAAATGTGTGATATATTAGACATAACTTATATAGGCGTACATTACTTCTCCGTCAGATATTTTAACAAAGATATATCTATTATCGTATACTGAATACAGATCAAAACTAGGATAACTGAGACTTTTGTCTGAAATCCCAAAAAGAACAGCATTTTAAGTGAACAACGTTTACGAACGTCATTCCTGTTGATTAATGACAACCTTGTCTAAACAAAAAGCTAAAAAGTTAAAATTACACGAAAAATACTTAACAGCTTGTTTGGTGTAAGGCACAGGTATGATATTGATATCGATCCAGTTATGCAATTAACATGTTTAGTAGCACGTGAAAAAATCACTAACAGCTTCTATCTCTATAATACCCCTCTCGAAAGAGATTAATATCTTTATACAAATAAAATAGAAAAGTTATAAATCTGAAAATAAAGTGAATTTTAATATATGCGGTGCTGATTTATCACATCACAAATACCTCAATCGCTTCGGGAAAAAAATGATTAAAAACTCCATTCTATTAACCTCGCCTGGCTAATCAACAACTGGTTAGTCGGAGAAAAAAAACAACAACTAATAATAAAAACTAAGTTTTCGAAATTGGAGCTTAATATTTATATAATAGAGAGAAGTCTTATCCAGCAGGAGTTCCCTAATCAATAAAGACTTTACCCAGTTTGTGTCTAGACAAACTGACAAGCTTCGTCTGGTTTTTCTATCTTAATGCATTTTCAATACATCACGACAAAACTTTGTGCAAAGTACTTCTTGACAACTTTTGAAAGTATTAGCAGTGCGCTCCCTTCCTGCTTTGTTTTGGCGCCGTGGGGAGGATTGAAAAAAAAAATATTACGTCTTTCATTCCATTTCAATTAAATTGAAAAAAAGTTTAAATTATATTATCCAGCTTTTTTTTTCGAATGCCTCTTGCGCGATGTCGGAATTTTTTTTATCTATTTATATATCTATGGATTTGAAAGGGGCTTCAGGTGTGAATATTTTTATGTATTCGTCGTTTAGTTGAAATAAATAAAATAAAAAGAACTAGCAGACGTTAGTCTGCTTCTTTCAAGCGAATACTTATTAGCTAAGAGCCCAAAAAGAAGTAGGCTAAGTCTGAATATTTCCCTCAATTTTAAGTAGTCGGAAATTTATTTAATTTTCTTTTAGTTTGTATTTTATTTTTTCTTGTCTGCTGAAAGAATTTTATGATTAAATAAAATTCCATCTATTAATTTATTCAAAGATGATAAAAAAAATATCGGAGTTCTTTGACTCTTAATATTAGTTTTAAATTCTTTTTAAAAAAGCCTATTTCACTTTTTTTTAGTAAATTACAACCATTTTGTTGGGAGCTTTTTTTGTTTATTAACCTAAAAGAATAAATGCTTAAAATATAGACGTAATCCAATTTCGTCTGTGCTATAAATGCTCGGCTGGACTAAAATATAATTGTCAAAGAGGTTTTTATTTACTAATTAATTTACTTGTTGCTATCAAGTAAAAAGAAATTACATGCCATCAAGTAAAAAGAAAGTTCCCATCTTATAGTTTAACTACGAATTTTGCACTTCAAATTTCTAAACATCTGTGATTTTTTTCAATCTCTGATTTTAAATTCGTTGCTCAATTTAGCATTCTTTAAATTTGGTTCTGACATATAACTATATCGAGACTAAATATTAAAACTAAGCAAATAAAATAAATGAATAAAAATATGAGGGTATTTTTTTATAATTTACTTTTTTGATGAGATTTTACGATAAAAAATAGTTAATTGAATATAAATTAGTAAAAATTAGCAACACACAATTATGCATAATTAGTATTACAATATTCAATATATTATATTATTTACAATATTCTAAAACCACATATGGTCTTATAAATTTCGTATTACAAACACAGTTATTTAATTAAAATGAATTTATTTAGTTTATTTAAACCATCCATTTCCCTTTATTTAAAATTATGAAATATTTTTAAATAATATTAATCATGAAACAATGATGAAGTGCAAGAAAACCATTTTTCAAAAATAAATTTTGATCATTATTTATTGCGCATCAGCTGCAAGTACGTAGAACTCATTAAATAAGCTAAAAATATAGAGAAAACAACGAAAAAAGATGCAAAGATTTTTAAAGGAGAATAAAAAAATTATTAAAATTTCTTTTTCTTTTTAAATGTTCACAAATTTAAAAAAATTGAAAAATTTGAAAAATAATTGGAAAATAAAATTAAATAAGAAAAATATGTAATCTTGTCATCAGCTCACACGCTTATATCAGAAGAAATAGTGCTTTCTAATATTGTATTAATGTAGCCAAAGAAAAGTACGTTTTTTTTACTTTCAGTATGACTCAAGTGAGGTTATGTGTAAGGTTATGAGTAAAGTATGATTAGGATGAATATATGAGTATGGTATGGTTAGGAGTACTGTAAGGTTATGTGTAAGGTAAGATTATGAATAAGGTTAGGTTATGAGTAAGGTAAGGTTACGATTAAGGTAAGGTTAGAATAAGATAAGGTTAGGAGTAGAGTAATATTATGAGTCAAGTGAAATTATGAGTAAGGTAAGGTTAGGAGTTAGGTATGGTTAGGAGTAAGGTAAGGGTAGAGTAAGGTAAGGTTGGGAGTAAGGTAGCTTATTATTCAAGTGAGATTATGAGAAAGGTAAGATTATTTGTATGGTAAGGTTAGAAACAAGGTAAGGGTAAGAGTAAGCTAAGGTTGGGAGTAAAGTAAGCTTATGATTCAAGTGAGGTAATTAGTAAGGTAAGGTTATGAGTAAGGTGTGGTTAGAAGTAAGGTATGGTTAGGGGTAAGGTATGGTTAGGAGTTAGGTATGGTTATAAGTAAGGTAAGGGTAAGAGTAAGGTAAGGTAGGGAGTAAAGTAATGTTATGATTCAAGTGAGGTTATGAGTNTAGAGAAAACAACGAAAGAAGATACAAAGATTTTTAAAGGAGAATAAAAAAATTATTAAAATTTCTTTTTTTTTAATATTCACGAATTTTAAAAAAATTTAAAAAATAATTGGAAAATAAAATTAAATGAGGAAAATATGTAATCTTGTCTTCGGCTCACACGCTTATATCGGAAGAAATAGTGCTTTCTAATATTGTATTAATATAACCAGAGTAAAACACATCAATACAATAGGAGCATAAAAAATAAATAAATAAAACGAAAATAGTATAATAATAATATTACCTATTATTATTACCTAAAATTATTTACAATAGAAGAAGGTTTTTCTTGGATTATCACAAATAATCACCCTATTTTAACTTATTGGATTTTGAAATTTCTGTTCTGTCAGTTTAAAAGAAGCTTACATATTGTAATCTTCCAAAATTGTATTCCAAATATATATATATTTCTATATATATATGAAAACTCTTCAATAGATATACCTTCCCTCTGTTATGCAGATAGAGAGGGATATTAAATCCACTGAACACGATTACAGAAAAACGACGCTGAAGTGAGTTGTAAATCCGGATTAAAAAAAATAAGGAGAAAA